CATTATTTCTTACAATAAAAACTGTGAAAAAATTATATAAATATAATGGACTAGAAACTAAATTATTAAACAAAATAAATAAAACATATTACATAAATGTTGTTAAATAAAGTAAACCTTAAAAGCTATTTAAATATTTAAGAATCATAATCAAAAGGGGCCAAAATACATATAACATAACTTTTTGTGGTCAAAACACAATTCACAAAAATTTTTGCGTATGTGAACAGTACAAACGCAAATATGCGTTTGGGAGAAGAGAGAGAGGGTCCAGAACGCATTTTGCGTTGCGAAATCGACACCGGTTGGAGCATTTTTTCTCAAAATTTCCCGTTGCAATTGCGTTTCCGCACCGGTTGGAGTTGCTCTTAGGTACAACATGTTTTAGAATTTTAGTATTATTTTATTTAAATCATCATATATATATATATATATAATAATTTAGCCATATTATGGACGTATGATCATTGTTGACCGAACAAAGTGGAAAAAAGCAAAAGGGGCGAATATGGAAATCTATTTAATCGAGAAAATTGCAGCAGTTATTTATCCATGCGCTTGGAAAGAGGGGTTTAGCGCAGTGGCGCTTACCTTCGCTCCGCGTGTACCATGTCTCGAGTTCGAGTCATCCGAAGAAGAATTGGAGAACCAATATTATCCATGCCACATTCCATCATTTCTATTTCTGCCCTTTTGGACCTTTTTAATATTGCCTTACTCAGTTTCCCTTCATCTCTATTTATATGTACACACTCTTAGAACAAAAATTAATAACCACCAGGAAAAAACAATAGGAAAGCCTAAAGAGTGTCGAAATCGTGTTTTTTTTTTATATATATGAGTTCGAAAATCGAGTCGCCTGCCGCCGCCCCATCTGCCGCCGCCGCCGCCGGTGGAACGCAGTGGTGGAATTCGCCGTTGATGTTCATCGGCGGCGGCTTGGCCCTCATGCTAGGAGTGATTCCCATAGCTATATGTGTGATTGTGGCCCAAGCGTTTACGAAGACTTCGGAACAGTCGTCGAGTGATGGAAAGTCGCTGGAGGCCTCGCGCGCTTTTGGGTTTGAAATGGAGCCCCGAGTAGTTGTCATCATGCCGGGTCAGATCAACCCGACCTATATCGCGAAGCAGGTCGTTCGAAGGAGTGAGGATGTTTGACTTTTTATTTTATTTTTGTTGTGTAATACGTTAGTACGTGCAATTAATATGACTTTTTGATGCTAGTTGTTTGATTTAATATTTATTTTTCTCTATTATCTATGAATTATTGGATTTTTTTTATGGCATATTAGATTAACTAGCTAAATTTTTACCTTTTTTTATGTTCGAATATTTTCTCCGAATATATGTCACGTAAAGCAGGATAATTAACGAACTATTAACGCAATTTTTCAATGGAAAAAAATGAAATCATAATATTATACAACATTTTTCAGAATTTATGCGCATGACGTGGCTGTAGGGCACTGTGGAGGATTCATGTTGGTGTCACAAATTCATGAGGCCGGCCCATATGAGTGGCCCACAACAAAACAGGCTTTTGTGGCCTTTGAGGTAGTGATAGTCTGATAGAGACCAATTCAAGTGGACCCTTGAAATTGACAGGAATAGAGAGAGCTTTGAAATGCATGAACATTGAAAAAGTTTTTCATGTGGAGAAATTAACTCAATTTTCCCATTTAGGAGGGTTGGTGTTTGAAATTGAAAGTACTAATCCCTATTTCTCAATTTGGTTAAATAATTAATCTTACCAACCCTAATCTCTCGAAATTCCTAATTCAAAGAGCGAGTATGTCCTATTGGGCTCCAAGCAAGTGGCCCAGCTCGGGCTAAACTCCCAATTTGACGAGTTTTGAGTCAACCTGACAGAGACAAATTATTTCGAGGAAGGCTACAAACAAGTGGCTCGAGTCGAGATGCACTCTCAGTTGCTAGCTAGGTTATGAGTCAACTCAAAAGGGGTCAACCATTTAAAGATCGAACTTCAAACGAGTGACTCATCACGGAGTACAACTTATCGTATTAAATTCTGAGATAACCCAACATGTGGGTAAACCGTGTCTTGAATCACTGACCAAAACTCCACATAGAAGTTTAAGATGTGATAACCAAATAAAACTATCTAGTTATAACATATAAAGAAAATCAAAAATAGCAAAAATTAGACTTGAGAGTGAATTAACAATGACCATTGGGCATTGACCCATTAGTTAGATCTTCATGAGGAAAAGGACTTGGTTTGCTGGCTTTGACAGGAGAATTGGCTTTTGGGGTCAATATCGAAGATAATCACAACCCACCTGATGACACCTAATTCGCATCCAAATTGTTCTTTTTTAAATAAAAAATGAAAAAAAAAAGGAAAAAAAAAAAAAAGTTGTGGGGAACAATAATAAGTGACCTTAGAAGAGTGGATGCCGGAGAACATTATTGTTAGAAATGCGTGGAAGGAGTGGACTGAATATTTATTTTGCAAAGCTGGGCAGGGTATTAGCAAGGAGAATTAGTAGATTAGGTTCTTATGATCAGTTTTCTTCTGTTTCTCCTTGAGGTTTTTGCTGACTTTGTTTTGATTTGAATTTGCTGTTAAGAATTGTGGGTCTCGAGCTTATGGCCTCGCCTATGATTCTACTTTCGTTGCTATTGTTAGTTTGTGTGTCTAGGACATCATGTTGATGTTCCTCCATTGTGTTGGTGTATTCAGGCTCTTTAGCTTTCGGATTGTAAAACTCGTATTTCAGTTTATTATGAGAAATTCTACCGTTTCGAAAAAAAAAAAAAAAAACCTTAGAAGAAAAATGGCTTCTTTTATTAGTTCATTTTACATTAGGGGAGGACAATATTGTCTTTTTTCTTTTCATTAAGATATTACCACTGCATATTCGAGGAAAAATTAATATTATCAACCCACTGAACACACTTCGACGGGCACATGTCAAGATCTCGTAATTTTTCAATTACATATCAACTATGTTTAATATGTGCGATCTTCTGTCAATTCAGTTGGTGCACATATTAAATCGTGCACATGTAAATAGAAAATATATTCACTATGGAGTGGTCTATTGTTAAATATGTACGAACTAGTACTAATATCCATGTACAACATGAGTGTTGAGTTAATGAATATATGTGTAAAGTTATTTATGTCTAATACCAAACTTAACTCCAAAGTAAAAATAATATAAAAACAACATTACAAAGCATAAATTTTCGCCATGTCAGCATCCAAAGCGTGAAAATCTGTCACCTAAGCTCAACACATTTTGAATTAATATAAAGGAGAGATTATAACATAATTATTTATAAAACTTGAGGTCTCCCTAAGTCAAATTCGTATAGGATCATTTTCTTTTTATTATTTTTTTTTTCTTATAAATGAAAAGAGAACAAATATCAGGATCACAGTGCCGTGTGATCTTGAAGCCACGTTGATTTTTTGTCTTCCAAAATGAGTCGGCGTAATGATCATTCTGGAAAGAATTCCACAAAAAATAATCTATGGGCAGTTGGGCACAAGCACACAGCCAATTTTTGGTCCAAAAGAAATGTAGACTTTGGAGAAACTTGTAAGTTCGTCTAAAAAACGAGTCGAGTCGAGCATTGATTTATCGAGCATGATCGTTTTTTTAGCTGCTCGAGCTCGACCAAAAATTTTGTGGAAAATAAAAATACCATTAAACACCTACGGCTATTGTATATAAAAGAGGCATTTTAGTAATTATATAAGCATATATCGCGTGTCGCTCGACTAGCAGCTCAGCAATACAAAATACAGACTCGAGCTCGACTTGAGTTCGTGCTAGACTCGATTCAGTCAAACTCGAATTTGAGTCGAGCTTTGACTCGGGCGGCTCACGAGTCGCTTGGCAGCCCCAATCCCGACTCCCGAGTCATGTTGTAGGGATAACTATTATTTATTAATTGAGAAAATGATAATATTAGAATGAGTACTAAATAGAAGGAAAACTAACATGTTTCCACATATATGATCTTCAGCACCTTCATATTGAAACAATTTATGTGTAAATTTTTTGCGTACCTCATGATGCATTTATAGGCTAGTAATAATAATAAA